AAGAAGTCTGTTTGTTTAGCTGATTTTTGCTTTAGTAGTTGGGCTAAAAGTGTTAAAAACCGGAATTTTCCTTTAAGGGTTCTTTACTTTTGAAATTAGTACACATTTGACCACAAGGTGGCACTGTTTGTATAAAAACCTTGGCTTTGTAAGACTGGGACCAAATTTGTTTCCGCACCAAACACAAAATTTATGTTTTTATTTTTTATTTTTTAAGGCAAACTGAAAGTTATAGTCTGGGCTTTAAATGTTTAACTGTACAAACATTAAGTGAAAATACCAAATAATAAAAACAATTACTGATTTTGGCTGCTCAGTGGGCAGTGGGTAGCACTGCTGCCATGCAGCAAGAAAGTTTTGGGTTCCATTCCCAGGCCGGGGTCTTTCCTCATGAAGTTTGCATCTTATCCCTGAGCATGATGGATTTCCGCTGGGTACTCCAGCTTCCTCCCACAGTCCAAAACCAGGACTTTATTTTGATTTCTCTAAATTCTCTTTAGGTGTGTGTGAATGGTTGTTTGTTCTGTTTGTCTCTGTGTTGCCCTGCAAAAGACTGTCAACCTGTCCAGGGTGTACCCCGCCTCTTGTCTGTAAACAGCTGGAGATAAGCACCAGCACCCCTCGTTACCCAGCTTGGGATAAGCATGATGGAAAATGAATGGATGGAAATACTGATTTCTTTTCTTTTTTTATGCAGCTTTGGAGGCCAGAAAACTCTCTTACAGATACAATGGAGCTGGGCTCGTTGAAGGTGAACCTAAACTTAACAGAGATCCAAACTCCTCAACCTCATGCAATGGAGAGCAGCCTGGTGCAGAACACACGAAGGAGCAAGCACAGGCTGACACACATGATGACCAATTCAATGATGCTCATAGATCAGCAAGCTGCAACGGGACATTAGGTCCAGATTCAGAAAATGAAGAAGAGGAAAAACAAGGAGAATGTCAGACAGAAGAACAGGATGTTTCAGATTCAGAAAGCTTTGAGCAGAATGGTTTTATCAACACTGAGCCTGAGCTTCATTTAGCAGAAACAAGCTCTAGACCTCAGGCTTAAAGCGTGAAAGCATCTGGTTGTTAAGAAACATGAAGGCTTTCCCTAAACACTCCCATCCAAACAGATGAGTCCTAGGAGTATTTATCACTAAATGCATCTATTTATTGTGCATGTCTTTAATGTTACAGTATGTGATTAAAGTTGAAATTTGTGCTTTTCTCTGTACTGCTCTTAAAACGCAAATAAATCTTTATTGCTTATCTGAATGCAATTTTTCTAAAGATATTGTTGCAGATGTTTAATACCCTGTGATAGTTAGAAGAAAATGTACAAATAAAATCAGAAGTGTGTGCATGCTTTAATATTTGGCATTCTTTACTTTGATTTTATGACATAAATTCTAGTTCAGCCAAAAACTAAAAGGTCACCAGTTAGAGTCTGCATGTGTGTTATTTAATCTAATATAAATCTGTATATATTCATCTGTTCTGTATAGATGAAGATATTTGTTGGAGCAAATTAGCAAATAGACTTAGACAACTTTTATTCTCATTTGGTATACACAAAACGAAAATTTGTTTTGTAAAGCTTTCATGACATTTCCATTTCTTAAAGTGCAGTAGTGATCAAATGAAAACAGTGTGGGAGAAAAAATATGGTCCAGAAAAAATGCATTGATATGGAAATTCAGAGCATTAAGCATATATGGTGCAATGCAGTGTTTTGGTTTGTTGTTATCAGTTTGATGCAGAGTCTGTGACATGATTTAGAGTTTTTATAACAGTTCAGCTGACTGATGGCAGTGGGGATGAAACTGTTGCAGAATCTGCTGGACCTACTTCAAATGCTGAGAAGCCTCTTCCCAGAGGGCAGCAGGGAGAACAGTCCAAGGTGGGGGGGTGAGGGGTCATTGATAATGTTACAGGCTCGGGACAAGCAGCACTGGGATGAAATGTCTTTTATGGAGGCTTGATGAAGACCAGGGAACACAAGCTTCTGTATCCTGTTGAGTACAAGGAATGACAAATGGCAGGTCACCTCAACCAATAGAATATGAACGAGTGGCAGAGATCCACTGAAGAGGTAGAATAATCTCTGAACAGGACAACTATTATTGATTATTTTGCTTGCATTTTTCCACTAGCTATGCAATTGAGAGCTAAATAAAAAATGGTCAGACAGGAGCAAAGGAGAGTTTTTTTGACATAAAAAAATTATGGTGTTAGCATCGTGCTAAGGAGATGCTATTCTAAGTAGAGAAAAGAAAACTTGTTAACGTTAGTGGTAGGATTTAGTAGAGGCCAAGCAACAATGGAAGAAAAGCTGTTAGAGAAAGAGTTCACCTGCCCTCTCCACTCACACTAGTCAGAACAGTCATTAATGATTTATGAATTATGAACAGAGCATTACAATAAACAGAAATAGACCATTTTGGTATCATTGTAATTACAAGATCTTTGATTTTATTTATTTATTTCTCACAAGGACATTGCATATTAATAAAGACACTGGAAAAAAAATCGAAATTAAGTCATTTTTTCTTAAAATAAGTGCATTTGTTCTTGGATTTAGGAGGTAACAGCAACATTTTTCCAATGAAACAAGACAATTTACACTTAAAATAAGAAAACGCAATTGCATTGTCTTATTTCAAGTACATATTATCTAATTATCTTATTATAAGAGTAAAAATACTCACTCCATTGGCAAGCTATCTCATTTATCTAATCAAATTAAGGGTAAATACACTTAATTTAAGAAATTTGTACTTATTTATAAAAGGTTTTTCCACTATAGTTCTGTCAATACACCAGAGTTAGCCATAAGGCTATTCTTTACCTGCATTCCCTATAAACAGATGGCAAAAGTCACAATAAAAGAACAAAAATAAAATTACATATTTACATCACAACATAATAGATTGCTTAAGCTATAACGAACACTATAAAACACAAGAGATCAAGAATTACACAGTGAAAGATAAAGAAATGAATACACAGGCACATACATATACACGAGGTACAATAGCAGCAAGGGGCAGTGAAAGAATTTGTTTCTACAATGCAAAAAAAACTCTATAAATAAGTAAAGATTTCTTTAATTATGTATATTTACCCTTAATTTGAGTAGGTAAATAAGAGGATTTGCCAATGGAATGAGCATTTTTACTCTTAAAATATGATAGTTAGATAAAATGCACTTGAAATAAGACAATGCATTTATTATTTTTTTTTTATTTTAAATGTAAATTGTCTTGTTCCATTGGCAAAGTGTCTAACTTACTGTAGATCCTCAATCCAAGAAAAAAACCCATTGAAAATTTGACCATGTGTTTCCAGCCCTGAATCTGTGTTTTTGCTATGTTGGACAGTGACAACAATGCTTGGTTTCTTATTCATAATCTTAACAAAACTTTGGAAAGCTTTTACTGTGGGTTCAACCTGACCTTTGCCAATTTCCTTCCTAAACTAAGTTTGGTCATCTAAATTAAATCTGTAAACATCTTTGGACTGGGTCACATTACGCTAATTAGGCCATCTGCAAATGCAAAAACTACTTTGTGAGAGCATATGCCTTTCAATGATAGTTTACTAAATGTATGAGGGCAGAGACGAAAGCTGGAGGTAAAAATGTGAAGATTGATCAGTTTGAGCTCTAAAAATATATATTTTTAAAAAGAAAACAATAAGTTTTAAGAACATTTTAAAGGAAGCTTAAAGAACTTTCCCATCAGCTTCATTTTGTATATAAACAAGTGACAAAGAATAAACTTTTTGTGCAATGACTCAAACTTCCCTACAATTACCAGAGATGATCAGGCACCTCCTCCCACAATCTAACACAAATCTCCCCCCATATTCCTCTTTCTGACTTTCCCACTCTTCTCAGAATTCCTCTTTCCACATGGTTTAGGTCTGCATACTAAATAAGTCTGCACACACAAGAGTTAGAAAGAATCTGGGCCAAATCTCAAAATGCGCCATTTTTTATGTTTTTGGACAGGACGTTGTGTAACATTCCAGAGCTCTGTGACAATAAAACCTTTGTTTCAGCAGTAAATTTAGAGTATCCCACTACTATTTTTCCGTCCCGAAGCTGTAAAAAGAGTATAGCTTGTCAGGCTTTTGAGTGTGTGTTTTAATGACAAAGACCCTGGCTCTGTATCTGGAAGCAATCATCTCGTCAAGGCCCTGCTCAACAGCCCCCTCCCTATGATGTAATTTGGGGCTGTTTCTTTTTTTTTTTTCGATTATGATCCGACAAAGTTTTAGGGGATTTTTCTAAAAGTTACTGTTTCATTTATTTGATTTCCTCATTGTCATCAACATATATGAGGTTTTATAGCAGCAGGTATGCCACAAGTTGCATTTTTCTCTGGGTTTAGCTGTTTTTTCCCCTCAGTAGTACCCGAGGGATTGAAGTTGGCCCTGTTTCAAACACAGCCACGGGGCCTCAACCCTCCTCCACATATACTGCTGAAACAACAATCTACTAATGCAGCCACCTTTTCATCCATTAAACACAATGTGGGAGGGCTCCACTGTGTGGTAAAATTCTAATTTGGGTGGAGATAAAAAACCCGCCGGTAACATTTGACAGGAGATTTGGTCTAGATGGGGAGTTTGAAAACAGAGAGTGGACTCTGTCACAAGACGTTTGCACAGTTGGATTATTTCACTCAGAGTCTCTGTGCTGCAATATGATCTAACAGTCACATGATATTGATCAGTGCGAGGTTAAAGGTCAAGACCCACTGTTTTAAGAAACAACATCTCTTGGTAGTAGAGATTAAATGTTCATGTCTCCTCAAATCTTTTGATAACACCACCTTTAGTCATTCCTTACTATTTTTTATTTTATTTTGTTGTGGTTTATTGAGCAATTCCCTGCACGACCAGAGCGGGGCAGAAGCTGTGCCTCCTTCACGCAAAGTAAACACACCCACTGTCTCCCTTGCTCCCCTCCTGGAGAGGGAAAATCTCAGCAGTGCTGAGGGTGGGAGGGGAGAGGGTCTCCTGTCTGATCTTTTGTCATGGGAAGACTTTCCTCTGCTGCTCCAGAGCAGAGAGACAGACAGAAAGAGGACTCCAGCTTCAAATCTTACAGACGGGCAGCAGAGGATTTTAAACTATGTAACTTGGGGAGAAAACAAAGGTTAGTTAATTTTCTTCTCTATATTCATTGTAATCACTTAATTATGTGTATTTTTCATTAAGAGAGTGATGCTGCTGAAAAGTATCAGATTTCACTCTAGCTTGCTCTGCTCTCTTCTGCACTGTTTATATCAGGGATTCATTCTCAGCAGATCTGTGCAGCTCTCAGGCTGCACAGAAAATCAGCTGAATTTTATTAGGTTATTATCATCTGTCTGCTGAATGTGTGCAAAAGGTCACAAAAATGAATTTCAACCACATTTATCGTTTCTTTTTTTTTTTTAATCCATGCTGTTTTTTCTTCACTTCATTTCAAAACAGAAGACTAAAACTATTTACAAATAGGAGAATAAACATGGATTTTGAACAAATCTCCTAAAACATTGTAATAAATGTTTTATTTGTATTTAAAATTAAAAGATTAAGTGAAATATCTGTTTTTTTATATTTATATACATCCATATACTTATATATGATAAGTGCTTTTGTCTCAAAAGTTCAGAGTACACTCTTGTTTTTTTATGTAAAGCATTTGTTGAATGTATGTTTATCACAGCCATTGATATATTTAGGCTATTATTTATAAATTGGATCTGAATATTAAACAGAGGTGTAACAGTCCTATTTCTCCTATTATTATCAGGCTTTGAACTAGCAAGACTCACTTTCCTTAATTCTGATTTTTCTACCATTGCAAAGGTTAATCAAATAAAATTGAACTATCCAGTGTTGTAAGCTGTGTTGCTGGTTTTAGCCCACGTTATGTCCATATATGTCATTGTATCCTTGGGCAAGACACTTCACCAGCCTTGCGTGCTGTTTGTGGTCAGATGCCCCAGTGGCACTGATGTATGACAGCCTCACTCTTTCAGTCTACCCCAGGCCAGCTGTGGCTGCAGTGTAGTTTGCAACCATTAGAATGTGAATGTGTGAATACATGTAAGTACTTTGGACTTGGGCTTGATAAACTGCTACATACATGTCATTATCATTTATCTATTTAGCATCAATTCACAACTCATGTTATCTCAATGCACTTAATAGAGTTGATTTCATATATTTATTAAGACAGATTGGTTAAAAAAAAGTTTTCTTTTTCTGGAAAACCCAGAAGATTGCTTGTAACAAAAAAATCAAGAAATTGACTCTAAGATGAGCATGTAGCAACATTGGGTGCTACTTGCATTGTATTGTTGACTTTGCAACAATCCCTCATAGTAGGCATGGATTTAGTGAAGGTGGAGAGGAAAAAGTAATCTTTAACAGGAAGAAACCCTCAGCAGAGCACGGCTCGGTGTGAACGCTGTTCTCCCAAAGCTGAATAGTTGTTTTAGTATGCAGACAGACAGAAAGAACAGAATTTGACAAAAGAATTCTTTCAAGGTGAGAGAAAAGCAGAAAGTTAGTTGTATCGGTGACTACTGTAGTGGTTTTATCTTGGAAAGCAAACCTGATGGATCATGATGTCACCAACGACAGCAGCCCAGCCAATGCTCTCCTCCTGGACGGACTTTTAGCTGAACAGAACCCCCACCCAGATGTAGCATGGAACAGAAAAAAATCCACTACTACGGTAAGTTCAAGGCGAGGTGATGTCAGTCCTAGTTAGAGACGTCAAGGGCAAACAGAATAAGAGGAAGAGCAGCATTTGGATATTTGTTTCTCTATCTCCCGCCGAAGGCCCTCATTACTTATTAATGTAGCAGAGGAAACCTAACACCATGTGTGAGAGAGCCTTCACTGTAAAACAGGGGTTCATCATTATTTCAAAACAAAGACAACAATTATGACATCATTAGCTTGAGTTAAAAATAAGTGCTCTTCGCTCCACAGCCTTACAACAGTCTAGATGCTTGCCCTAGAGTAGAGGTCACACAACCTCATTGAAGCTATATATATATATATATATATATATATATATATATATATATA